TAGGTAAGGTAGGTAAGTGGGTAGGTAGGCAATGTGTGTGTGTGTGTGTGTTTGCAAGTGCTGACGACTACGACAAGGTGATGCTTAAACAGTTGTAGGTTCAATCACTACGAGATGAAGCTTCCATCCGTGGTGTCGGGTTGGAAGGCGTTGAGATTCAAGGATTGACCAAGAAGTTCAACAGGCTTCGTATTTGTGATGACATTTGCACCTGCTTCGTGTGAACCATTCGCCCTCCAGCATAAGCAAGACACCTTCGAGCCTTTCCAGCTTGAGCCGTGGCGAGGATGCTGTGATGGGTCCTGGTGGTCTTTTGGAGGAGACGCCTGAGACCAGCAAGCCTGAAGCCAAGCATGTTCCAAGCCAGCATCGCGTCCGAACAACAACCACAGAAGCAAATACCACGCAACTGCACCACCTCTACAAAACTCCCACCATGCCACCACCGCCACCGCCACCACCGCCACCGCCATCACCTCCGCCACCGCCACCACGCCACCACCGCCACCACCGCCACCGCCACCACCACCCCCACCGCCACCGCCGCCACCACCCCCACCACCGCCGTCGGCACCACCAACACTGCCACCGCCAACTCAGAAGAATACTACCACCACTACCACCTCCGCCACTACTGAGTCTGCTACTGCCGCTTTTTGCTCTGCTTCTGCTGCCGCTGTTGCTGTTGCTGTTGCTGTTGCTGTTGCTCTTGCTGCTTGCTGCTTGCTGCTTGTTGGTTGCTGCTTGCTGCTTGCTGCTTGCTGCTTGCTGCTTGCTGCTTGCTGCTTGCGGCTGCTGCTGCTGCTGCTGCTGCTGCTGCTGCTGGTGTTGCTGCTGCTGCTCTACCACTGCCACCGCGACAACCACGACCACAACGACCCACGGCCACAACCACGACACATGACCACGACCACCTTCACTATTGCCAACACTATGACTACCACTACCACAGCCAGGTAGACAACCTGGATTCCTTCAATTTGGTGGACAGATTGAAACATCTGTCGTGAGCGGACTACGTCCTAAGAAATGCCTCCATCGAAGCATTAGAGGCCTCTGCTGATGCAAGTAGCCAGAAGTTTGAATTGGATTTTGCAGTTGCGCTCGCAAGTACACTGCTCAGCTGTAAATCAGACTGATGTGCCAAGCCTTCCTACACCTCTAAGCGAACGACTTTCCGTGCCCAATCGGGTTGCGGTTCAAGATCCCTTGCAGGATCTCACTTTACGACAATCCTTGCTGGTGGCGGTTGGTGACCTACTCTTCCGGCATCCGAATGTAGTGGAGCCTTGGAACCTCGGTCTCTTCCAGCCTCTGCAGTTTCAGTGCCTCCATGGCTTTGTTTGCCAAGGCCCAAACTGCACTACTGCAGTTGTGTTCGTGCGGCAGCGAGGAGAGTTCATGTTCCCCAGAGCAGCTCAGGACAGGACGCCTGTATGCCACCTTGACTTCGACAGTGGACAGCAGCGAGGAGGGCGGTCAGAGTGCCTGCGATCTTCGACTGACCGCATTGTTGGTTCTGACGCACCTGGTTCTGAACGACATGATGAAGCCCCGGCCCGTGCTACTGATTCGGGCACTGTGGCTCACTGCGTGCAGCCATGAAGCCACGGCTCGGGTCGCTCGAATCCTCTTCCAGGAGCTCTCGAAACGCAGCACCAACGTGGTCTACAACCTGCTCCCTGAGATTGTGGCGCGGCTGCCAGAGCATGTGGCCGAGGTCGGTGTCGAGGGCGGGGCCACCGGTCGTGTGCAATACATCATGCAGTTTGTGGAGAAGGAGAAGCATATCGAGGGCCTCATCGAGAAGTTCTCCTTGCGCCTTGAACAGTGTGCTGGTGGCTCTGGTGCCCACACCGAACCGACTGCGACGCAGGCAGAACCAGAGATGGAAGTAGAAGAGGCGGGCCCTGTGCGGGTAGAGGACACCATCTCCTGCCTGGCACATGCACTTGGAGCTATGAACTACTCTGACAGATGCATCCTGCGTTTGCATGATGTCGTCGTGGTGAGGAAAGCGCTGAATCTCAGCTTGTCCTACCACGCTGTGGTTAGAGATTGCATCCTAGGTGTTGTGGAAAAGGCCCGCAAGCCTCGACAAGGCAAGGAGAAGGGTGAAAGCGCACCCGCCGAGCCAGATGCAGTAGCTGCCGAAGGAGGTGGCGGTGGTGCCAAAGGAGCAAGCACTGCAGCGGCATCTGCGCTAGATGCCCTGGAGCAGCTAATCAACACCCTTGCAAACGGAAAAGACGAGTCGAAAGAAGAGGCTCCTGCCGTCGCTGTCCGAAAGCCTGGCAACCTGCCTGGCAAGAAGAAGCAGGCGGACACCAATGCTGAGCCGGGTTTTGAGGAGCCTGAGAAAAAGGAGCGAAGCGGCAAAGGCCGTGGCAAGGGGCGTGGAAAGGCTCGCGTCGCCGGCAAGGAGAATCTTCCGGGCAATGGCGTGCCGAACAAAGGCCGAAAGCGGAAGACTGAAAAAGCCAGGGCCGACGACGATGACGAGGATTATGAGTGAACGGTGCAGTTCGCTTCTCCTGATAACAGGGAGGATCCCAGCAGTGCAGCGAGCACTGACTTGTATGGTAGAGCTTCCAAGGCATGCGCCACTGTTCTGGGCCCTCGGGCAGCGGTTACAGATGTGCTATCAGCTGCAAGCATCAGGCTGCAATTTCTTGGCTATGCCAATTCCAAAACCAAGTGGAGTCCAGAAGAGTAGGCCGCTGAAGTGTTCACCGCCTGATTGATTGAATTTGCGGGCACAGGGGTCCGTAAGCGCTGGGATCAACTTGAAAGGTTAGGAGTCTTTAAACTTTACGGGTGCAGCAGATCGCTGCACAAGCGTTCGCCTTTGCCCTCCACTGATCAGGTGCTCACACGAGCCCTGGGCTTTCCCAGGACCTCGAATTAGCCTCTCCGCTCTCGGCTCTAGGAATCCTCGTCGAATGGGTTGTCCTGGTTACCCAGCTGCCTTGTGCGCCTCTGAGCGGAGACTGAGTTGTACAGTGTTGCAGGACGTGTTTGTAGCTGGTCCAAGGGCGTGCAGGAATCCTTCCTACTGTAGGTCCTAGTTGCACTGCGTCACGTGCGAAAGTGGCTACAGGGCCCTGGGACCAGCCCTCTGTGTTGCCAGCCGCACGCTCCAGTGCTTCCTGAGTGGGAGCCAGTCGGTGCCTGAGGTCGGTAGTAATTGCCTGACTGTGGGGTAAGTCAGCGGGGAGGTCGGCATGATGAGTCCGCTTGGCGCCTGAAAACAGCATCAGCACGAGTCGGGGACTGCCAATTTCTACTCAGCTGCATGTGCCTGAATCTGCAGCGGGCACTCAACTTTGAGCCACACGCTTGTGTTTGCCACTAAAGTTCTGGAGCATTTGTCTGCCGGCTTCGTGGCTGCCCAGTTGAGCCGTGAGTGCGGGCTCCACGTAGGTAGGATTTAATTAGTGGAGGTCGAGTGCCTCGTGCATGCGGACTACAGGAGATCGTCGGGAAGGGATTCGGATGTCATCGGCGCAGCCGGGCCATGGTCTTCCCAACCCCTGGACGCTCATCGGGGCCCCCTGCAGCCCCAGCAGCCTATGTCGCGATCTTTGGAGCCCTCTTTGTGCTTATCCTGGCGCTTGGCCGGCAGCTCGCCCGGCTGCGGCTGGCTGCAAAGAAGTATGAGACGGTGGACACATCGGATCGTGGCAAGGCGCTCGTGGCGCGTGTACGGATAGAGAAGGGTTGCGTCGTCCTGGTGGAACGCGCCGTTCTGTCCGTTCCTGCAGGGGCCAGTCCGATCCCCGCCATGGGTTTTCTGGGCTGGAGGGCACGACGTTTGTTGGAGAGTTTGTACTGCCCCGCCTCTCTGGCTGTTTCGAGCGTCTTGGACGTGTTGATCTGTATGAAGAAACATGCTAAGTCGTCAGTTCGTGAGTTCAAATCCTCAAAAGCAAGGAGTGGAGGATGGAGAAAATGCTCTGAGCGATGAGATCGGACAGCACGGCGAGAAGCTACAGCAGGCCATGGTACAGAGTGGTCTCTGGTCTGTGCAACAAGCTGAAAAGGACTTTGCATGGGTTTGGACCCTTCTGCGTGCTGCTTGGACCTCTTTGGCACAGAGAGTTTTAGCAAAAGCTCCGAGTCTCCTAGTGGCCGGCAAGCAACAGTCCAAAGTCCAGACGTCCTATCCATATCAAGGGACCCCCCGCACCTGAAAACAGAGTTTAGATTTCCAAAACACTTGCCCTAAGTGTTTGGGCTTGTTTGCTTTCTTCATATTGACATTGCGGGATTTGGACTAGGGGTTCCGGCTTTCGGGCAAGGTCTGGGACGCCAACAAGCTTTCCTTCGCGAGCCGAAAGGGCGTGGAGCAGGGCATCTTTCACAGCATCAGCAGGCTGCGAGGCTGCAAGTCCCGAGGCTAAAACGCCCGCAAAGTGGCGTGGGGTCTACAGTACTGATAGAAGCTTATAAACCCCTAAACCCTAAACCCTGAACTTATAAAGCTTAAAGCTGCAAGGCTCAATCACTCCTGCGAGCCCAATCTGCGGCTGCTGCCCACTGGGGAGCCAGGGGAGCTCATGGCCGTGGCTACTATGGGCATCGAGCCGGGGAAAGAGCTCTGCATCTGCTGCTTGTGCTTGAAAATGAGGTTACAGGGCCGACACCAGGGTGAGTGGATCTAAGTTGAGCGAGTTTCGTCTTTTTCCTTTCGGGCCCCGAGGCTACCCTGAGCACAATGCGCTGCCGATGCTGCACTTCCTACATCTGCCAACCTCCTGGCGCCGACATTTACTGCAGCGATGGCAGTTCCATTGCTGCTGTACTCGATGTCAGGTGCCAGAGGATGCCGCACGCTGTTTTCAGTGTCCAGGAAGAGCCGGCTGCCCTGGAAAGCTCTGCGTGAGGGCCGCTGCTGCGGAGCTTTTGGCCCCGTGCGGGGTCTGTGGCTTCGCCTTGGCCGAGGCGGAGATGCAGCAGCTCTTGGCCAAGGAAGCAACGGCAGAACAGGGGGTCAACGACTTGATGAGCCAGCTGAAGAGTGCCAAGGACGACAACTTCCCACTGGAGGGGGTTCTGCATCTGCTGGGCAAGTGCTCGGAAGCAGGACTTACGTCTCCTATAGGTCCTCAACTCTTCAACCTTGCTGAAAAATCCCGGGTTTGCCGGTCTGAGAGGCTTGCGTCTTGGGGCCAGGATTGAGCATCGAGCACTGGCTGCCCTTTTGGCTCCTCTCTCTGGCTGCTGTCGGCTCTTCTGGACGGCCGCTGCGGGTGGCTGCGCATGGTGTTGCTCGGTCCACTGCTGCCGGGATATCTCAGAACAGCTTTTGTTTTTTGAGGGGCTGTGTAGCCCATCTCCCTCAACCTCATTTCCCAAGCCGAAGATCAACCAAGACCATGCCGGCCCTGCCTGGCACGTGCCTGGGCTGTGGCGGCTGTGGTTCAATCTTGCGGTCAGATTGGCTGGGCTTGGACCTGGATGTAGGGCTGAGGGTCGGGCGGTACGGCTTCGCAGCCTCTGGGTTCTGGGCATGCAAGTTTGAGCTTAAGAAGGCTTTTGCTCTCTTGCTGGACATTCCGGTGTGCGAGCGACATGCAAGGAACTTTGCAGTGTGACATGTCGTTGGGATGCATGAAGAGGACCATGTGAGGAGTCTTGCAAACACTCATCCCTGCCTTGCAGTCATCACCTGCTCCCCTCTATGTAGTGGCATCCTCCATAAGTCTATGTCTATAACTGTCCACAAACCCCAAACCCCGAGCCCTGAAGGCCACTTCCGGACCTTAAACCTCATCAACCAATAGCCCCAAGAACAACTTGGAGCCCTCGGAACCCTCAAGCTCCCCGAGCTGAGGTTCGGAGCTCTGGCAGAAAAAGCGCCTGCCAGCGCGCGCCCGCTCCTGCTCGCAGCGGACCCGAAGTGGGGGGGGGGGGAAGTGGGGTTGACTTTCAACAGTACTGTTCTGGGCTGCAAGGATTTTTGGAGTCTGGCAACTTCCAGAGTTGTTTTTGGCGAAACTCGGAATGCCGACAGTTAACCTACTACTGCTGCTTCAGAAAACCAAGTAAACTCTGATGGGGTTTTAATTCCTATCTAGTCGTTTTGTTCATTAGGACCGTTCTGTGCAGCGTGGTGACTGCAAGTGCATTCGCTATTTTTTGTACTATCCAGATGCCAGCCGTGCCAGGTGCAAGTTACCTTGCCCTGCTCATGAAAGCTGTGTTGATGTACCGGAGGAGCTTGATGAACAACGTCTAGTTTTTGTCCTTTTGTGCAGTCTGGAAGGGATGTAAGTTCAAGGTTGAGCATGAACATCTTGAGGATGGCCGGGTGGGTTCCTGTGGCCTTGGGATGCCCTCGAGCCCCTCCAGGACCGCGACCGCCAACGCCTGCTGGCTCGACCTGGGGCCTCGACCCGACTTTGCTTGCGCCCCGGCTTCGGACCAAGGAGTTTAGGGGCTTTATCGGCATTTGGGGAGGTTCGCTTGCTCCGGTGCCCTGTTATGGTGCTGTGACTGGCAGGGTCTTGGCACTGAACCTTGTGCCTGGCGCACTTCTACCTTCAAAAACCTACAAGGTGCCACGCAGGGGAGGGTTGAGAGTGACTTGGAAAGGCTTCTGCTGCCACAGCTTGACAAGACTCAAAGAAAGTTATGGAGGTTGTAGCACTTGCTGGAGCAACCGAGGTATCTGACCTTCGATGCGTGAGGGTGCAAAAAGGCGTTTGAATGCCGGAGAGAGCTGTGCGGTCCCCGAGGCTGGAAGTGGAGCCCCGTCAACACCGTTGCACGGAAATGCCTCGGACCCAAGCTCTAACTCTAAGGACTCGACATAGCTTCCTCGCAGCAACACCCAGGTTATCAGAGCTTCTACAGGACAAGAGGTGTGAGCTTGATCAGAGCTACATGCTTTGGCTCCCCGAACGAGCAGTACCAGCAGCACCAGCCCCAAATAAGCCGCAGACGGCTCTTGTTGGATGGCGCCGCCTGCGGAGGATGTGGATGTTCCCAGCTGCCTCATCTGCTTTCTACCTCGCAACTCTGAAGAGGTGTGTCTCCCCTGTGGGCACCGGGAGTGGCACCACGAGTGCATCTACGGCTGGCTGGAGAGGCAATCCTCCTGCCCGCTCTGCCGCGCACCGACTGCCTCGAGTCCAGGCGGCTCCTGACTCTGACTTAGAGGGACACGCTATCTTCTTTTTCCCCGAAATGGGTCGCACTAACGCCTTTAGTCCTGAAGTCTGTACAGAAGACCCTGCTCCCACCACCCGCCCCCTCTTCCCAGAAACCTTCCAACTCCGACTTACCAAGCCCGAGGTTTAGAGTGTGCACTGCGTGCCCTGGACATGCCGCTACCTGGGCTGGACTGCGAGAGGGTCCTTCCAGCACTGCGGCTGCTGTCTTTGCCCGAGGTGGGTTCGTGGTCTCCAGGGCAGTTCCTTTTTGACAGCTTTCAGACCTGTCCTGGCCAAAGGCACAGCTCTTAGAAGACCAGCAGCAGTTGGAGACAGAGCTGGACCTGTTGGAGACGGAGCTTCAGGACGCAGGATCAAATTTTGTCACCTTCATGTGAACTTCGTTGCAATTCCTTCGAGATGGGCACAACGGCTTCCATGAACCGCCTTCTGAGCTCGCCGCCCCAAGTATTCCAGAGGTCGAATGCTTGGCAATAGTCTCCTTTAGAGCCCAGATATAGTAGTAGTACTATAGTGTGCGACCCCGCAAACTTCTGCACCTATTCTAACTGTTCAGGTCTCCTATCTTCGGAGATAGTACGATCATACACCAAAGAAGGCCCTATTCCCAAATATGAAGGCCCCCCTATGTTCAGCCCCCTGAACCCTAAACCCTAAAACAAAAACCTAAACCCAAAACCCCCCAAAAAACCTAAACCCTACACCTTAAACAGAAAGCCGCCTTTCAGAAAGCCTAAAACAAACCCCTAAACCCCCAAAAAGCCCTATTCCAAGCATCGAGGCCACTTTATCTTCGCATTTCGACCCGCGAAAAACCGAAAGAGGAGCTGCGCGAGGCCGAGGAGGAGATGGAGCTGGAGCTCCAGGAGCGAAGCTAAACAAAACTCAGACGTTGGAGACGGGGAGCGTTGTGTCGCTGATACTCATTCGCGATAAGAATAATAACGATAAGCCAAAAATGAATCATAGTAGGAAATTTACATTTTTATATATAATGACAATAGTCATAGCAAGAGTAATAATGATAATAGTAATAAGATAGGAATGGTAACGAAATAACATCTTAAGAAGACGTTCCTACGTTTTCAAACAACACGGTGTCTGAGCCTTCTTGCACTTGCCTGATCCTGTAAGCTCGTGACATGGGTTCTTTGACTAACACCTCAACCACGACAGCTCTACTGATGGCTCAGCACTTCCGCCTGGTGCCCCCTTCTTAGGAGTGTGGGGAATGTTATGCGTGATCGTTATCAATGGCGGGTGTTCTCGGTGCAACGGCAAGGAATACAATGCTGCCGCCATCGGTTTCTTCAAGAACGAACATCAGACAATGTGTTATGTGGGTCAAGGACTCCCTCCGCCCTACCATATGTCTTAAGCTTTCTGGCCGCCTCCATGAGACCGTCGACATCTGGCTTAACTCTTTCCAACAAGTCATCAGCAGTTGGGCCAAGCTGCAGATTGACAAAGGCTTCAACAACCCTCTTGCAGCAATGGTCAAGTTTGGACAGGTACTCCCAGCACTGATGCACATGCTGAAACACGATCCTGCGAACTTGCCGCAGCCGTGCTTTGGAAAGCTTCGAGACGGTTCCGTTTTTGGACGCATCCAAGGCTGCAGTCCAATCGGCTTCGGTAAGAAACATGTATTTCGCCCGAAGGGTTTCTACATGGAAAGTAGACATCTCGCCCCAAAGGCTGGTGCAGTGGAGGGTGAGATTGAAGGTTGAAAACACAGGGGCCAAGATACGGCGCAGAGCTTAATAATAACAATATAACAATATTAGTAACAGGAAGATTCAAAATAACAATACTAGTAGTCAACAACAATTTTATTATGGGATCTTTAAGAATCGTAATAGAGCAAGAACAAGAATTCAACAATAATAGCAGTAACAGCCACAACAATAACAACAATAAAAAACAATAAAAATAGCAATAGTAACAGTACTAACAAGTATAACAACAGTAACGACAACCATGACAGTAACAGTAACACCAACAGTAACCGTAACAGTGCCAGTGCCAGTGCCAGTGACAGTGTCAGTGACAGTGAGATGGCAGCAGCAGTAACACTAACCGTGACAGTGACAGTGAGACAGCAGTAGCAGTAGCAGTAACAGTGACAGTAATCATAACAATAACAGTAGTCGTAACAATAATTCTAATACTCTAATTTTAGTAGTAATGATGGCACGCCGTTCATTCATGGTGGTGCTTGACGTGGCGAAAAGCATGGAATTTGCTTTAAAGTTGCCACATAACAGAACCCGTTGGAAACAGCTCATGTGAAACTCTGTATTACTGTGGCATGCCGCGCTCTGGACATGCCTCGTGTGGAATGAGCCCACGCGACACATGCGCAGGCTTGCGCGCACTGCGCGTGGCTTGCTCATCAGCACCGCTAAGAACAGTGCAGCCCTGAGCCGCCCTGAACCCCAAAAGCCTAAATGCTAAACCCTACAGTTTAAGCACCCGATTCCGTACATCAGAGCTGCCGTGGCGACCGGCAGGAGCTCTCCTCTGGTTTTCACGACGTGACCACCCCAAGGGATGAGGCATGTTTCGTCGATTTTGGGACTTATAAAGTGGTTACTTCTTGTCTGTATGCGGCTTTAGAAAGAATTGACGGAGTTCCATTGTTGTGTGGTTTTTTTTTGGGATGTGTTCGGCGTTGGGTGTTCGGGTCGTGGATCGATTGTAATGTTGACTTGGGGCTGGCGGAGTGGAGGTTGAGCAGCGGAGATCCAACCCAATACCCGGCAGTTCGTTCGCGATGGTGCGCCTTGGATTGTCGATACGTGAATTGAAAACTTCGAACGAGCCCCACAAACGCGTCTCGAACAACGGACAGCTCCAGAGCCCTTTGCTGCTTGCAAACTGAGTCACAGAGGTGGTTTTGCTCCCGGACGAAACGAAAGCTTCAAGCATTCATTGAAACATTTATCGGCATGACTGTGATTCCTTCAAGCTTCATTATGGCGAGTGAAGATCCCTGATTCGTCCAGTGTTTTGGGGCCGCAAATGTATCAATTCACGGCTGCTTCTTGGCCGGAGGCATGGGCACTGCTGGACCGTTTCGCTGCTGCAGCTTTTCGGACGAGACCTGCCTCCAAGCGAAGCGTTCATGTTTCATGCGGTGCTCGCATAGGAGGGCTATACTTGCCGAGAGCATTTCTGGATTTCAGCATATGCCCGTCATCAAAAAGGAGGACCGAGCAACATCCGGGAGTTTGAGTATTCCTCCTCCTCCTCCTCCTGCTCGTCCTCCTTCTCCCCATGCTGGGCTAGTCAAGGTTTCTAGTGAGCCGTTGGTGATTGGTGATGACAACTGTAGGCATATCCCCAGCAGGAATGATGAAAGAAGAGGGAAGGGGTAGACAGGCATATTTCATACTAGACACCACTCATATCAAGCATATTGCCATACTTTCGATTCAAACGATCTGAAGCCACTCAGAATGCGTTACTAAAGCTTCACGCAATTTCGGGAGGTAATGCCTAGTGACAGTCTGCATCCCTGCGGAGGCTTTGTGCATGCGTGAAGTTACTTGGTGGCGCTTTGTCTGCTTATTATTCCTATTATTGCCAGGATCATGAATAGGGACAGTAGCAACTGACCACCCTTGTCCTGAACATCTAGCATGTCGTAGTCCCAAACCGATTACAAAGGATGTTAATCCCGGAATTAGGCCGAGCCCCGATGTCCCATCATCAATCCTCAAAGTGAATGCGAGTGTGCCACTCCTACCCAGGAATGTGGGTGCGGAGGAGCTATTCCTCGCTCTGAGTCCACATGGTGCGCCGCTTGCCCTGGAGGCGGTTGGGTAAAGCTCAGGAGTCTCAGGATGGTGAGGAAGAGTTCGGGTTGGCTCGGGATTGGCACGATTTGTAATATTGGTGTTGATGCGGTGTTGATGCTGCTCCTGCGGCTCCTGCTGCGCTGGCCTACGACTTTCAACACCATTACCATGACTACCACGACTGGCACGACTGCCACGACCAACACTACAAGCACCAGAAGCACCACTAGAAGCACCAGCAGCACCTCTACCACCACTGGGCCATCACTACCATCGCCACCGCCACTACCACCACTACAACCACCACC